TGTTCATCATTTTAAAATTTTTGGCACGCTTTGCCGGACTTAGATCCGATCAAAGTGCTAAACCTTAATTAAAAGTAAGATTTAATATGATGGAATTTAAAAATATCAAGTAAAATATATCTTAAAAGTATGTTTTATTATTATTTTTAAAATCTAAGTTGTGAAAAAGATTACTTCTTTTTTATAAAAAAATTATATCCAATTTTTTTACTATGTTGTAATAATTATAATTAAAAAAAATAGTATTTTTTTTCTATTCGGGTATGTCATTATTTATTTAAATAAAATTTAACTTAACTATTATTAAATATACACCATCAACCTATTATATAACAATAAAGGACTTTATGTTCTTATAGTTAAAAGAATTTTATTATTACTAAATATATTTTTTCGTTGACTTTTTTAAATAATACATAATTTATTTATTATTTAATTAAATATTATATTGTTAATTCATAATACACTCACAAAAATTAAATTTATATCTTTGTAATTAAAAAGAAAAATTAATTATTGTAAAATATTTTTGTATTTGGGTAGGTAATGAGTTGTAAAACAAAACATAATTTAATTATTAGTGAACCAAATATTATAAATCATATACCATTAATTTATAAAACACATACAAAATGATAAATTTAATATATTTGTAATTAAAAAAATTTAGTCATCATGAAATATTAAATAATTATAAATAAGATATAATTAATATCTAATATATTTCAAAAATTACGAGTTTTATATTTAAATAAAATATAAATATTTTAATGACGGAAAAAAGATTACTTGGTAAATGATGATTGGCTGGACCTCGACATTGATTCATGGGCATTGCGGCATACGTTAAACAATATGATTTAAGTTGGACACACTTAATGCCCATCGTCCGACACCTAGCAGCCCGCTCATGATGTCTTTTTATGACCCATCATTTGATCTTCTCTTTTTTTATCACTTCTTGCGTGCGTATTAATGAATTTTGAGAGCCTTGGATAATTTTAATTTTAGTTATACAATAAATAATGATATTCGTAGGACACGTATTTGGTACTATTCAAAAATAGTCGTATATAAAATCAACTTTATCTACTTTTTTTTTTAAAGATATATATAATATGTTTTAAGATCATAAATATAAATATTATTAAAAATATAAAATTTATTATTTTATAAATATATTATTGATTGACAATATTTAACTTAATTAAATATATGATTTAATTTATTAATAAAATTACGATAATTAAATTGAATTTCATTATAATAAAATATAATATTTATGAGTGAAAAAAATATTTCGTAATAGATAGAATGAAAAATTTCAATTAACTATTTTTAATAAAAAATTTTTAAAAAAATTACACTATATATAAGATACTCTAATAAAAATGTAAAAGATAAAAGATTTACATTAGATATAAGGCGTAGAAAATAAATAGACGATCAAGAATTTATTTAATACATAATTTTAAAATTTGTAATCAATTAAAGATAATTGTTATATATATATATATATATTTTTACATTTAATTAAAAATTAAATTATGGTTTATATTTAAAAAATTAATTAAATAATTATTATTGATTAAAAAATGTAAACATTTAAATTTTAAAATGCTCAAATGGTTTAATGCCGGAAAATCTGATTTATCTTTTAAGTGCCAGAACGGCTTGGGCTGGGCCTCTATGGCTACTAATTGAAAACCCAAAACCGCTTACAAATCCACCTCTAACCTTATCTACTACCTCACCCTGCACGAGATCAACTGATAAAAATCCAGGAATCAAACGCTTCAGTGGAGCCAACAAATGGTGTCGATGCTAATTAGTTGCGTAGCTTCATCATCTTTCAACTATCTCTCGGATTCGCCGAGATTGTCTTTGTCGAAAACCTTGTTGAAACAAACTCATGCTGCTCTTCCCAGCAGATTCAATCCAGTTTTAAGGTTTGGTTATGGTACGAAGTTTACTCCAGCTACCTGGAGGAGTCCGCGTTTGGTTTGCTTTTTCAATGCTGGCAAAGAATCCAATAGCGATTTTAATAAAGAGGTGCGATTATCGTATGCTATGATGTACTTGCTTGGTTGGACTGCTTTTCGTTTGAGCTGCATCATGCTCCTGTTTGGTTGCAATGAAAATCAAGGATTAGTTTATAGTTCCTGTTTCTATAGAATACTAAACATACGTTAGTTTTCTCTATAAATGTATAGAGTTCAGAAATGTTTTTATGGAAAAATTTGAAACAGAAGCTGCATTTTCTAATCCAAATCCATGTTTTCTCGGTGATAGGAAGCCAAATTTGATTGGCAGATACTCAAGCGATGGGAAGTGCCTTGGGAATGGCAAACAGTTTCACTAACATCGCTTGCTTGTGGATTAAGGTATGTTTTCTTTTTCTTTTTTCCTTCTCCCATATATTGGAAGTTGTGAGGAAGTTGATGTACGAATTTGTAGCCAACTGAGGATGTACTGGAAGCAATTCTTATTTGAAATCATGTGTAAACAAGATGACATGATCCCTAGTGTTTTTCTTTCCAGGGAATGACACTTTGGCAGTCCCATGAAAATGCCTAGGCAATAAATTGAAATGTCTAAGGGTTCAAGAATAAGTTACTGTGTAGAGTCATGTGCCATTCCTAGCAGACAAGATGAGAAACTCTATATTATGCAGGGCAACCGCCCATGTAACTTAGGTTAAGATGCATTAGTACCTATTAAAGGAACTTTATTTGAACTTTTATTCGTCGTGAGAGTTACTTCCCTTGTTAAGGACAATTGTGGATGCTGGATGATAGGGAACTCTCTTTTGTGTGTTGGATGGTGGAGCGAGTGAAAGTTAATTCTCCCTGAATGGTTACTAAGCTTGAGAGATGAGGTGCAGAAGGATGGGTCCTTTTAACTGAAGAGTGTATCCTAATAAATTAGGCTATATGAGAAAATAGTGCAGCATTAATCTATTTTCCCTTAACGATTTTCTGTACAAGTGATTTTGCTTGGGAATGAAGATAAATGGCAGCCAATAGTTGATTGAAGCAAGGTTTGTTAGTTAGGGTTTGGTGACCTTCTCTACCATGGAAAAATAGTGGAGAAAACATCTGTTGTATGTTGGTTACAAATTTATATATCATGCTATAGCAAAATCAGTTGCTAAATTAGGGGTACAAATCTTCTAACTACAGGAATCAAATCACCTACGGGGAGTTGAGATCCTGAACATAAGGGATTGCAAGATATAATTACTATAAGTACCAAACAATGATTTGCTTCAAGAATCACAAAGATTTCAATTGCCTGATGACATTTGTTAGTCTATAAATAATAGATTGATTATTAATTACTATCAATTATTTCAAATGGTACTAGATTCATAGATCTAAAATTAATGGTTTCTCAAAAATGAAATTAAAAGTTAATGGAGGGACTGTGCTCGATCTACGGTTTCAGCCTATTGGGCTTATGCATGAAGGAGTGTGTCAGAATATAATAATAGATCGAATGATGTTCTGTCTACTTAAACTGTTTGGATAATTGGTCAAATTAATTATTCATGCTATATCACATACACTATTGACCTTTTCCATGATTGATTTTGGTGTCTGCTAGCGTCTTATAACCGTGCAAAGAAAATATTTGGACAAATTATCTTGTCAGTACACTATAATAATGGGTTTTGGATAATTAGATTGTTTCTGATATACAGCAAGATTTTGATTCTTTTTCAGGCAGTTTTGTTTTGACAGGATTATTAGAAGCAGCGGCTATACCGTATTTAGGACTTCAAATTGGAGAACTAAGTTTGGATGAAAAAGCTGAGATACTCTTTGTGGATCAAGGGTATGGGTAGCCTCTGGTTATTTTCCAGTATTGTTCTGATATCTTCATTTTCTTGTTTAAATATATAAATGCTATGATTAATTTTTGACTTGGCTTGCATTCTTGCCCACTATTGTAGTGTAAAGATGTTTTCAATCATGTCTAACCCCTCTGTAGTTTGAATCTCCCTGGAGGCCCATTTTCTTTTCTTTGGCCTTGATGCTCCTTGGGAACTGGCTACTTTAACTTGGCAAGAAATTAATCAAAAATCCTGGTTATTCTCAATTTGTTTGAATATTCATTGCATACCTTTTAG